TGTTCACCTCTCTCCTGAAGTTGACTGTTTTCTTCTAGCTTTTATACTTTTTATGTCTGTTATTGATGGAACAGATCGTGGTCGTGTACGAATATCAAATATAATTGGTCTATGAAGTCATGAAATCATAAAATGAGTTCCTTCTTCAATAATATCTAGTTGAATACCTTGAAAACGATCAAAAATAACATCTCGATGACCACCATCAACTAGAATATATTTATATTTAAAGAAAATAAGTTTTTTTTAATCTTTTCATATTTACCGTTATAAAGCATAGAATTAATCACACCACCACCAATACCTAAACCAGTATCAATTCTTCCTAAAACGCAAAATTCTTCTATCAAAATAAAATATTATCTCAATATCTTACCAATATTATTAAATAAACGAGATGAAGCCATTGTCCTTTTTTTTCTTCTAACAGAAAAACATGCATAATCATAATCAAATAAAATTTGTTTAGTTGTTTTATTTTTATTAGCAAATAGTTCCAGAAACAAAACGAAACCATATGAAAATTTTTCATATCTCTATCAATAGAAAAAGAAAATACATCACTATTTAATCTATCTATCTACTACAATAACAAACCAATGTAATATATACATAGAAAAAGATTAAATGACAATAAACTTTGAAAGCAAAAAAAAATACATGCATACTTTTAAATAAATCGAAATCCACTTGAAAAAATATGAGCACCATTTTTTATTTTAGACAAAATAAAAGAAAAACAAAACGTGTATAAAGTTTAGCACCGTTCAGATATTGTTCACCATTGGGTTTTAATGAATTTGATGTATCACTGTTCTTTGCTACTGCAGCAGCAATTGCTTCGGGTGCTGAACAGTCTATAAAGAAATTATTTATATCATAGAAAAAAAAAATGTTTTTCAATTACTATAATTTGATTTTGTTGGAAAAAATTGTTGTAGAAATGATGCACCATCAACACGAAAATCTTCAAGATTTTTATAATTTTTTAAAATTTCTTCAAGTTTTCGATTAATTTTTGGTTTTTGTCGAGAATATTTTAAAAATGCCCAGAATTTTTCTAAACCATATAATTGACTTAAATAGAAAAATTATTTTTGTTATTGACACTTTTCTTTTCTTTTTTTTTGTGTAATCTTTTTTATTACCAGCTTCATGATTACAAAGAGTTTCATGTTGAAAATCTTCAAATACATGCTGACGAAAATGTTTTTCTAGATCATATGTGTAAAATCGAAATAGACATTCAACACCATATTTATACATAAATAGTAATACTCAATTTTTTTGCTTATTATTTTTCATAAAAATAATTCATTTATATGCCGATGATCAGTTTTAGTATCTTCAACAGCATATTGTTTAAATTCATTGTACATATGACGATTAAAATTTTCACATAAGAAAAATGACTAAAAACGATAGAGTGTATTCATTTCCATTGATTGACCAGGACCAAGTTTAACGCGTTCTAGAAATTAGATCATTACAGAAAACAAAATGTATTTTATTTGTAAATTAAGGCCCACCCCCCACCCAAAATTTTATTTTTGCCACAGAACATCGAATCTTAACGAAATTTTCAGAGTAGATGTATCTTGGGCTGGGCACCTTGTGATAAAAATTTCAGCCTGAAATCTTAAGGATTCCAGGAGATAGCTTAATATTAAGGTCCAAAACATAGGTCTTCGTGCGTCCCAGATTTCTCCGCCATTTTGAAAGCTAGAAAGCTCGGGTTTGTTTTAAAATGTGGCCAATATCTGGGACTACAACTTAACAGAGTCCGATTTTTTAATTTTTCTTTAGCTTAGTTTTTAGAGAACTTCTACGTCATGATATGAAATCAGTAGGGTGTAAATTTTCAAACATTTCCCCCTCATCTGACATCTGTCATGAAATCGAAAAATCGAGCTCTGTTAAGTTATAGTCCCAAGTGTTGACTACATTTTAAAACAAACCCGAACTTTCTAGCTTTCAAAATGGCGGAGAAATCTGGGACGCACGAAAGCGTAAAATCAAAAAATCTCATTTCGAGAAAAACGCAAAATACATTTTAGAAGTGTATTTCATGACTTTTCATCCAGTTATAGTGTTTTTCGATCATCTTAAATAATAAAAGACACTTTGAACTCATTATGGGTGAAGATATTACGACAAAAATTTATTAGAAAGTTCATCGAAATGATCTTAAAAACCAGATTTTAGGAAATAACATGTGATAATGAATGATATAGGGTGTCCAGTAAATGACTAGAGTTAGAAAAAATTGCATATCTCTCTGCTACGGCTCGAGCAAACAGGCTGATTTTTCTACCAATAATAGAAGCATGTTCACACTTTAAATCCATACAGACAAGATTAGAAAGAGCCTTTGTTAAGTACCACCAACGACCTCAACAAAAAAATTTTACTTTTTCACAGATAAGAAAAAAAACAATAGACTTAACAAAGGATCTCTCTAGGCATGTCTTTATGAGTATAAAGCTTGGACATGCCTCTATCATTGATAAAAGAATCAGCTCTTTTGCTCGAGCCATAGTGAAGATATTCAATTTTTTTGCGGCAAAGTGACTTTTGCGCTACTCCGTATAGTGTTCTTTTCCTATCTGTGAAAAAGTAAAATTTTTTTTGTTGAGGTCGTTGGTGGTACTTAACAAAGGCTCTTTCTAATCTTGTCTGTATGGATTTAAAGTGTGAACATGCTTCCATTATTGGTAGAAAAATCAGCCTGTTTGCTCGAGCCGTAGCAGAGAGATATGCAATTTTTTCTAACTCTAGTCATTTACTGGACACCCTATATGATAATAAAATAAGTAGTATTTTTAAAATCTGAGATAATGTTGATTATTTTTCGGTAATCAATCATCACCACCTGCTTCATATACATCAGTAATGTCATCATCTGACAGTTCTAATGCAATATCATTGAGTTCTAATGTAATATCATTTACAATGGAATCATAGTTTTCTTCATTTGGGGTATATGCAATTTCACCATCACTTTCAGTTGAAAATATATATCTCGCTACGTGACAGAATCAAAGTCAAGATAATATTCTGCAAAATAGAAAGAAATATATTTTAATGTTACAAATTGAAATGCGCAAAAACACTGAATTATTCGAAAGACGTCGTTTTTCTTGAATAAAGGTTTTCAGAAAAACCTCTGTAAAACCCTTAAAATCCATCTTAAACAAAATAAACTACAGTGGATTCGATAGCGGACGTGATGCTCTATCACATGCGCCATTAAAAAAAATCGATAAATTTGACAGAAATCAACTTTTTTTGGGTGGGGGGTGGGCCTTAACATAACTTTAGATTATAAATATTTTCTATAAAATAATAAAGTTTGGCGATTAGTGAAACTTAGTGTTTTTAATCATTGACGATTATTTTATTGCTTTTCAAATTTATCATGTAGATAAGAATGATAGTATTTATTAAAAAAACTCCATAGAAGAGTAAAATCTTTGTTTTTTTTTTGAAAATTATAGCAACAGACATATTCTCTATTAGCTATTTAAATCAGAATACAAGTATTTTTAGACTCTGATTTGTACCGGAGAGTAGTTTTCGCTGTTGTTTTTAGATATGTTGACTCTTCTTTAGTCATTAAAAAACTCGTTTTTTATACGTTCAATGCAACATAATTTCAATCTTTCTTTACCAGTAGCTTGTTTCTCTCGAAATATTGTAAATATGTACTGAACTAATAATCTTTTTTTTCTCTACAATATCAATGTTTCTTTTTTATCATCAAGATATTCTTGTTTATATATACGGTAAACTTGTTGGGTAAAACCATTTTGTTTTAAAAGTGTATGAGATGAATGTTGAACCATAAAAATCATATGAATTTGAATTATTTCCATGCCAATAATGTGAATCACTGTATGATGATGAATATTGATCATAGAAACCTTGTTGTCGAGTTCTAAATAAGTAAAACTCATTTTATACTAATAATAATTGACATTCAATTGTTTGTATTAGGAACAAAAAATAAAAGAAAATTCGTCAAAAAAACATGAAGCAACACAAGTTATTTTTTACTATATCCATTTACCTTACCCGTATTGAACGATAAGAAAAATGATCTTATTAAGTGTAATAAGTAAAGTGAAAGCAAAACGTTTAGAAACGCAGTATTTTTGACTTGTTTTCTTAACGATAATAATTACTATCCATTTCAAACTATATTGTGCCCCGTTGTTTTTTAAAACAAATAGTTAATGTATAAATGATAATGATTCTATCATCTTCGGCCCACACCCTATATATATAGATAAGATGAAATTTTTTTTCGTCGACGACGGCATGATATTGATGTACGCCAGACGAGAAAAAAAAGTTGAAAAAATATACACATATATCACTATATAAAAATTGATCATCAAATCAATTATGTAGTATTATGTGTTGAACACATCAATTAATATATACGTAGAACATCAAATCATGTATGTTCAACGATTGATAAAAAATCAGTCGAAATTTTAAACGTCGAACAATTAACCTCAGGGTATATAAAAACATGAATACATCATTATGAAACAGTATACACTCGAGTTGTATTATTATAATGCATTACAATGTATTTATATACCCGGGATTATTATTTATTATTACTATTATATTATTTACAATGATAATTATATTATTAAATTCTATATGAGGTAAATAATAAATTCATTATATATTTAATAATACTTTTTTTTTCTTTTTTTTTAGATGAGTTTCGATATTATACATTATTGAGACGTAAGAAAAATTTTTTATTTTACATATTCAGTTGAGTTGAGTTGAGATAAGTTATTTTGAGAAAAAATAAATACTATCAGTTATTATGAGTATGAGTATGAGTACTTTTGAGATGAGATGAGTTGAGTTACGAGTGTTATTAGTGTGGGTCAGAGAACTACGTTTTCTGATTCAATAGGTAGAGGAACTTTGCCATAGCGAAGCAGTGTAGTACTAGGGAAGGCCTCTATGTGTCGTTGGTCCCTACCGTGTTAATACGGCATACCTTCGGCCATTGCCCTACCAGTCCGGCGTGGTCCGCCTGTGGTACCTATGGCATTGACAAGGGATTTCTCCCTTGTCGCGCGCGCGCGAATAAGCCAAAATGAACCGAGAAAAATCGAAACGATTAGCAATGTGAATAAATTTATTGAGCAAGCGAAAAGAAAAAATTACAGTTACATTTTCTTTTTTACATAGTCAATGTTATCTTTCGTGTCTTCAATTAGAGGATGTGTTGACGGAAGTGATTTTTGACGAATAGAAAGTGCCTTTTCTAAGAATGAGAGTGCTTTCGAGTAGTCTCCTTTGCCGGAATACGCCATACCAATGTTGTTGTAGGAATAAGCCAAATCGGGATGATTCGGAGGCAGAGCTTTTTTCGTGATTTCGAGATCTTTTTCGTAAAATTCAAGTGCTTTCGAATAGTCACCCATGTTGTCATAGACGAGACCGATGTTGTTGTAGGAAGTAGCCAAATCGGGATGATTCGGAGGCAGAGCTTTTTCGAAGATTTTATGTGCTTTTTCGTAAAACTCAAGTGCTTTCGAGTAGTCACCCATGTTGTTATACACTCCACCGATGTTGTTGTAGGAAGTAGCCAAACCGGGATGATTCGGAGGCAGAGCTTTTTCTCCTATTTGATGTGATTTTTCGTAAAATTCAAGTGCTTTCGAGTAGTCACCCATGTTGTTATACACTCCACCGATGTTGTTGTAGGACAGAGCCAAATCCGGGTCATCAGGAGATAAAGCTTTTTCTTTTATTTTAATTGTTTTTTTGTAGAATTCTACTGCTTTAGAGTAGTCACCCATATTGTTATACACGACACCGATGTTGTTGCAGGTATTAGCCAATGAAGGATGATCTTCTGGAAGAGTTTTTCGTTTAATTTTGAGAGACATTTCATAATATGAAGCTGCATCTTTGTATTGTCCTTGGTCGTCTTTCAACCATCCAAGCTGGTTATAGATATGCGCCCTAGCACTGTCGTCGGATGCCTGTTCTAGTAGTGCCATGTACAATTCTTCGGCCTTGTTGAATTGACCAATTTTGAGCAGCAATATACCCAGTCGATACCATCCAGTGACACCCGAAGATTCTTCTCGTATACGGTCGGTTAATTGACGAAGTTGTTGGTCATCATCCGACGTAAGTTTAAGGTCCACTTGATAAAGTGGACTTTCCTTGTCAATTTTTCGGACTTCACTAATTCGAAAGACGGTGTGCATGGAGAAGAGAATTTCCTCTTCGTCCTTGAAATAGCTCACCTCCCGGATGGAGGCGAACGGAGTCGATGAGACAGTAGGATCTATTGTCATTTGAAAAAGGATGCCGATCATATCGGTTGCTCCTAAGATGCCTTCAGCAAAAGCGAAGGAGACATCACGATCTGCGCTGGTGGATAAAAAATTATTAAATGATACGAGAGCACCTTTGTTTTTTGCAAGTTTTTCGAAGTCGCTTGTCGATAATCCCTGTCCCCTATAAACTAAAAAGGACTCTCCATGATACTGACTGACCTGTTTGCTGTGTAAGTCTTCAATTTGTCGATGAACATCACACAGGAAAAATCCCATTCGGATGATAATGTCGCCATCCAATGTTCTTAATGCTCGATTGAGCATGTTGAACGTGAAGCATTGACGTGTATACCACCATAAGGCCAATGTTGGATGATAATTACGTTGAAATTCATCGATTAACTTCAGTTCGTTAGTATTGCCTTGGTATTGTTCTTGGCAGAAGGCGACCAAATCTTTGATAGCTTGTTGATCATGTTTCATATCAAGGAGTATTTCCTTGAATATTTGAGTATACATGAATGATGGTTCTAGCTGATTAAGATTTTGACTAGAACCATCTGTATCAGCACTAATTATACTGACCACTGTATTATTTTGATTGCATTGCTTGACAGCTATTTGCAATGCTTCGCATATGGATTTGATTGTTTTGTGGACGCCTTTAATTTTTGTCCAATACTTAGCCCATTCTTTATGATATTCCGTGTTGCGACAAAAAATATATATAGTATTAAGATTTCGCATTCCATGAATAGATGGTGCAAGAACTTGTCCAAGTTCACCAGAGGAGATAATGAAAGATGTCTCCTCCTTGTTTTCGTTGAGTAATGTGATGCATTCCTCTTCTGTAATGCACAATTTGACTTCATTAACAATACCTCGTAATTGCGACAGTGTATGTCGGCAATCTTCATTTTCCATATTGATATTCGCATCAACCCATATGACTAAATAGTTTTCAGTCATACATTGTTGTCGTTGTCGACTCATTTTCAATGTATTGGTGAATAATGTGTATGAACAGAATTTACCTTTCGTATTTATATATTCGATGCATGTTGTTTTTTTTTCTAGATTTTTCTACGACGTCAAATGTTAATATTTTATTTTTTCGCCGATACTCAATAACAACCTATGCCTAGTATCAATCAAAGGTATGCTTGTCAAAAAAAAGAAATTAAAGGGAAAAACCCATCAACGTCATTTATGGTATGATTATTTTTTTACCACTTGCATTTACGTTTCATGTGAAGCGTAACATAAGTTTCATTTTATGGATATCTTTTCTCATACGTTGTATATATTTTTTTCGATTCTTTCAAAACCAAACTTTTTTCTCTTGCTGAGAAGAACGAAGAAAACCAAGGACATCGTCTGTGTGTTTTTTTTCTCATTATGCATACGATTGACATGTTGATAATGTGAATCAAACAAGAATAAACATCATTTTAGTTTTTATATAGACAAAGGTTAAACAATGATATCTAGTTGCCGAATATACTAAATCACTAACAATTTAAGTAAAACAATTGTTTTATTCATGTTCATTCGAAAAAATATATATATAATAAAACGATATTTTGTTTTCGTATTTTTCAATAACTGTCCCTCTTTCATTAATTTCTAAGATTCATAAAGAAATAATATTCAACTTGTGTCTATTCACACAATTTTAACAAATGCTACAATGGTAACAGGAAAACTTCTCCTATCCAAACATCTATCACTAGAACTATGTGTATTATAAATGTATATCAATTGTAACCATAGTACAAAACATGTTTTAATTGAAAACAATTTCTGCTTGTATGATTGTAAAACAGAGTCATACATGCTCGTATACAATCAAGAAATAATAAAAAGAGTTGCTGATATTTTTCTAACTAAAATCAGTAGGAATATGGCAGACATGAAGACTGTTTTTCTTGATTTAAAAATGAGAAAAAAAACCATTGTTATTGTATTGTAAGTTTGATATCTTTTTTTGAAATGCAAAACTGTCTTCCTCAAATAAAAAGCGTTGGTTGGAAGGTTGAGTTAATGATTCTTTTGAGTTTCTTCTGAAGATGCAACCGATTCAGAAAAGATCAATCAACAAAGAAAAAGTCACAAAATTATTTTTATTATTGTTGTCGTTGTTTTTTTCTTTCATTCGTGCCTGTACGATGAATAAAAATGTGACGATAAAATATGTAAACAAAGAACTATTGAAGAAACGTAATATTACTTTTTTTTACTCTCCTTTTAGTCTCAATTGCATTATATTCATTTCATTTTTCTACATGGTCATTGATTCATATGCAATTAACGTCATGAAAATCTATCTGTAGGTTATATATGCTTAGCATAATATTAAAAAGACCATAAAATCGAACGAATATTCAAGAACTGGTTCTCTAGAGCTGACATTTATTATCTTATGAAAGAATATTTAAAAACTTTTCCTAATGTAAATAAAGTTTTTTTCCGAAAGTTTTCTTAGTTTTGAAATCGCTTAACTTGAAAAATTGAAGAAAATCTTAATGGAAAATAGTTTGTTAAAAATTTAACAAAGTGATTTCATAAACTTAGACTTACAAAAGAAAAATTATTTATCTCTACCCTAGTGAATGTACTGAGCTAAGGGTACCTGAAAAAGTACCCTGCTACCAGTATGTCACAGGAACTTTCGGGTACTGAAGTACCTTAAAGTACTTTTAGGTACTGGGGTGGGTACCCTGCTGAAAGCGTCTAGTAAATGGGTACTTGAAGGTACTGATCAAGTACTCAACTGGGTACTATCGCACAGTATTTTTAGGTACCCTGTTACCAAAATTGCAGTATGTTGATGATCGAACCTAACCTTTGACTTTTTTCATTTTTCTTTCTCTCAAAGCAATTTATGACATTTTTTCGATTTAATTTAATTTAATTTTTCTAATTTTGATTACTCAAGCAGGTCAACTTTTGGAATCTGACCAGATCTGAGTTGGTCGGATCTCCATCAGACTACTTCAAGGTAGTCATCTCCCAATTTACGATCGAGATCGTCATGTTCTCGACTAGTAAATAGTCAAGAAATAATCTAGAAAAAACTAGTATGAAAAAATATTAATTTCTTATGTTTTATCGAGTTGTTTATATGAAGCCATGTGTGCAAAAGAAAACGGTGAATGAACAGTTGCTACACAGAACGCGACAAATCTAGGGTACCCTGTAGAGCTTTGCTTAGTAAAATTACAGGTGCGGATACCCATACAAGTCCTTGTTCAGTAAACATACTGCTATGGGCACCCAATGCAGTACCTATATCAGTATAATTACTGAGATTTTTCGAAGTACCCATATCGGGTACCTTGCTGAGGCTTTCTCAGTACATGGGTACCCTTAGCTCAGTACATTCACTAGGGTAGCATCTACATTTTGCATTGAGGCTAGATTGATGATAACAAAGTTGATAAACTTGCATTTTTAGTTGAACATCATCAAGAGGCTTTATATTTGAGTGGACATATGCATTTATTCGATAGAGTTTCAAATTATTCAGAGATCAGTAGAACAAAAAATGATGAACTCGCAAGTAATAGTTGATATAGATATAAAGTATCACTGAATGAAATATTTATATCATTACTCCTAAACCAATAATTCTGAATATTAGAAGATTTTAATGAGTTACATTCTAGATATTAGTAAGACATTCTATACTGAAATATTATAGAAATGCCATAAAATATCATTCGTGAATGAAGAGTAATCTTTCTTCAAGCAAACAGATCTTCATATAATACTTTTCATCAAGATTAATTGTAATTGTTTAGTTTCAACCTACAAATAGTTTATTTCAAAGACAATCACATAAATTTTAATGAGATTCAACAGTGACAATAAGATTTTCATGGCTCAAAGACCCATACAAAATTTTACGTTTGGGTTTGTTAAATGACTTTATCTAGATGGTATATATACATCTGTCTGTATCAAAAAATGGTATCATTATGTGCACCAATTAATAACTTTAGTTTGAATATGTAAAGATCTGTGAAAACTAGTGTCTTATATATTGAAAACTGTGAAAGTCACCCATAGTTATTCCATACAGGTAATCTATCTACGTATCAAAATATGTTTAATGTTTAAAGATATGCAATACTATTTTGATTATATAATGTCATCTGAGCTTTTTTACAAGGTCGAACAACGTTAAAATGTTAATAATCATTTTAGAATTTGTTATCTATACTCTTAAATTCTAATATTGATTCAATAAAATATATTCAAATGAAGATTCTCATAAACTTTCTTATCATGTCACTTATACATTAATTGTAAAAAAAGTGAACAAACATCGGGAAATAAAAATTCAAAAAAAATATTTATTTATCAATATCTACTATAGCTTAGTATATTTGAAGATTTGTTTCGTCAAAAAAATTCGTATCTATAGATAGTCTTTCATAGGTATTCATTAGACTAGGGTGTGGATGTGAGTGTGGGTGGGTGTGAATTAAGGGATTTTCATCCCATAC